GTTTTTATATGTATGTGCTTTTCTGTTCAAGGATCCAATTGAATCCAAGTTACCAAATTGCATATTTATGTATGCTTGTTAAAACCATGAGTTCACATAGAGACCTCTGGTTCCAGTCCATCGTCATACAGGTGCTTACTTTGCCTTATCCATGACACGTAACCAATGCAGCAGGAACCCTGCCTCCCAACAACTGCTCAGTCATGAAGTTTATACAGGATACTCTTGGCAGTACTCACCATAGGTTAGGTGGTTCAGACCCACTGGCCACTCCTCAGGAGCAAGTTGAGGCTCTCTGTTCCCTTAGAGATCTACATCCTTGAAAACCGTATATAGAGTCACACTATAAGTTGGAATTGATTGACGGCAGTGGATTTGTTCGTTTCCATACCCACACCACTACCAAAAACAAGTCTTCCAAGTAAAACTCAAGATTTGTTTTAAGCCCTTTTTATCATTTTACTGAACGTGCCCTTTCAAAATAAGGAGTCGTGAAGGCTCAGCAGTTGTACACGTGACGGCTGACTAGAAGGTTTTTGGCTTGAACCCGTCTACTGGTTCTGCTGGAGAAAGACTTGGTGATCTACTTCCCCAAAGGTCACAGTTGTGAAGACCCTGCGGTGTCTTCCATTGACGTCCCATGGGGCCATGTGAGTCAGAATCGAGGGCTGGAATCCACCACTACCAACATCGTCCAAGTGTACTGTACTGGAAGATACTTGGATTGCTTCTGTTTTCATTCCCTCTGTGCAGTTATGCGACCCATTGGACACTCAGGTGCGCTGGATTATAGATCTGTCACAGTGAAACCAGGCACGTCATCAGGCCAGTTTGTTTTCTGTGGCACATGGAGACGGTTCCCTTCTTGTCTTTTAATCTTTGACGTGACTATTACCTTGCTCACTTTTTATATTTGGATTTTCTACTCTTCAGAATCTTAGCTGCCAGCTTGGAGGTTTACATAAAAATTCTGATTTCTGGCTTCTCTTTAAAAAAAAAAAAAAAAAAAAAGGTGTTCTGGCGCTGTCCAGTCCACTTGGCAGCAGTTTGCTGGAGCGCGCTGACAAGCTGAGGCTTGTGCTCCAGTTCCCACGGCTCAAACCCGGCTGGACCCTTGAGGCATTTGTGTTTGTGACCTTTCATTATAGGACTTTCTGTGGCAGGTGCAACAGTAGAGAATTATACTTCGTTGTATTTGAGGGAGAAATTGATTTTATCTGAAATTACTTACTTTCTCGATTTTGTGGTTCCACGATCCAGCCAGCATAGCTGACTTAAGAGGAGTCACAAAACCTCAACCTTAAATTGCTCATGTGTAGCAAACAACTCTGATAAAGTGTTTAACGTTTCAACAAAGTCACCATTCGTTTGGTGTGGTTTAGAACACCAAAGGCCAGGGATATATTTGAAGCTTTTACGAATCTTTTGTTTTTTAAATATTGAGAACGATTGTGTAAACATTAAAATCGATATGCACAGTGTCCTATTGAAACTAATAGTACTTTTTAAAAGTTTCTCATTCTAAACAGTAAAGCGGCTTGAAATGATTCTGGAAGAATATTTCAGCCATAATTTAAGAATGCAATTTATTTAAATTGGTAAGTTATTTAAACTGCATATCCAAGTTTTTGTAAATATGTTGTGTTTTTCTTCAGAAGTCTAAGTACGGTCTTGTTTTGTCCAGGGTAAAGAAGATCCCTTTCATAATGATAATTCGGTCCGTTGATCAGGAGGACAGACATGTTACTGTGTGTCATCGAGTTGGTTCTGACTCAGAGCTACCCTATTGGACAGAGAAGAACTGCCCCATAGGGTTTCGAAGCGTGTAATCTTTACTGATATCATCTTTCCGTCATGCAGCAGCTGTTGGGTTTGAACCTCCAACCTTTAGCTTCGCAGCTGAGTGCTTAACTATTGTTCCACCTGGGCTTCTCTTCTTCAGGAGGACACAGTAATGCTACATATGTGTTAACAGAACTTAGAACCTACTAACAGTTTCCAAATACATGAAAGAAACAAAAAGTCCGTAGAGACAAAGGGAGAAATAGAGACATCAGGATTATAACCAGAGACAACAGGTAGTCAGAAAATCAGCAGTGATGCAGATTTCGAGTAGAGGGGCAGTGAAAAGAGGAAGGCCTTCAAGGCAAGGGGTTGCAACAGTGGGAACAGAATGAGCACTAATGGAACAGGATCACTGTGGACACAAGCAGCAACGGGACTGTGAGTTGAAACGGACGTGGTTGCATCTAACAACGATGACTGGTGGTGATGAAGGGGCTATTTAGGTTCTTGGCCCATTTTAAAATTAGGTGGTTCATCTTTTGTTGTTGAGTTGTAGGAGCTCTTTATATATTCTGGATTTTTAACCCTTACTATGTATGATTTGCAAGTATTTTCTCCCACATTGTAGATTGCCTTTTTACTTTTTGCATGAACCCCTGATACATAAGCTTTTAAACTTTTTATAGAGTTCAGCTACTCTGTCTCTCTTCCCGCCCCCGCTTTCATTGCATGTGCTTGTATCTTAAGAATTCACCACCAAATCTAAGGGCCTGAAATTTTGCCCCTATGTTTTTTCCTCCAAGAGTTTTATGCTTTTATCTTCTTAGTTGTAGGTTTTTGATTCATTTTGAGTAAATATTTGGATATGGTGTGAGGTATAGATTAGTTTTCATTGTTTTGCATATGGAAAGCCAGTTGTCCCAGCATTATTGTTAGAGACTATTCTCTTTCTGACGAATAATCTTGAAACCCTTGTTGACAATCAACCATGCACATACAGATTTATTTCTGGATTCTTAACTTGATTCCATCGGTCTGTCCGTCTGTTTTAGTTGGAGCAGGACACTTGATTGCTGCAGCTTTCATCTGCTTGTACGGGCCAGCCCTCTGAACGAGTTTCCTTTCTTTCAGGACTGCTTTGGCTACTTCGACCCCCTTACAATTACGTACACATTTGAGGTTCTCTTTTTCATGAAAAAAAAGTTGGGATTTTGTTAATTTCTTTAAGTCTGTAAATCACTTTGGGTAGTACTGACACTTCTAAGTGTTTCATTCACTGTGTACACAGGATATCTTTCCATGTATTTAGGTCATCTTTTAATTTCTTTCAGTAGTGTTTTGTAGTTGTTAGTGTACAAGTCTTACCTCCTTGGTGATATTTATTCCTATGTATTTTATTCTTTTATATACTATTATAAATGTAATTGTTCTCTTAGATTCCTTTTGGATTGTTCTTTGTGTTCTATAGAAACAGTGATTTTTGTTTGATTAAAAAAAATTTTAAAGCACACGATACATGGAAATATTTAAAATTTCTTTTAGAGACATGATGTGACTTACCCAAAGTTGCATTTAGAAATTATAGAAGTTATTACTAGAATTTGACTGAACATTCATATTCTCTACATTTCTATAGTGTAGTACCTAAGTCTTAAAATGCATATTTTTATGCATTTTATTATCTTTGATTGTTGTGTTCTCACTAGTATTTCTGAAGGGGCTTTAAAAATTTATGGACAATGGAATCAAAAGATAATGGAATCTATTCAGAACTTTAAAAAAATTATATCTATTTTATTGGGGGCTCGTACAACTCTTCTCACAATCCATACATCCATCCATTGTGTCAAGCACATTTGTACATTTGTTGCCATGATCATTTTAAAAACATTTTCTTTCTACTTGAGCCCTTGGTATCAGCTCCTTATTTTTACCCCCTCCCTCCTCCCTCCTCCATCCCTCATGAACCCTTGATACTGTATAAATTATTATTGTTTTTTCATGTTTTACACTAATCGATGTCTCCCTTCACCCACTTTTCTGTTGTCCCACCCCCCTGGGAGGGTGTTATATGTAGATTATTGTGATCGGTTCCCTCTTTCTCCCCCCACCTTCCCCTTTCCCTCCTGGTATCGCTATTCTCAATATCCGTCCTGAGGGGTTTATTTGTCCTGAGTTCCCTGTGTTTCCAGCTCTTATCTGTACCCGTGTACATGCTCTGGTCTAGCTGGGTTTGTAAGGTAGAATTTGGGGTTATGATAGTGGGGGGAGGAAGCATTAAAGAACTAGAGGAATGTTTCTTCAGTGCTATACTGCATCCTGACTGGCTCTTCTCTTCCTTGTGACCCTTCTATAAGGGATGTTCAATTGTCTACACATGGGCTCTGGGGCGCCACTCTGCCTTCCCCTTCATTCACAATGATGACTTTGTTCTGGGTCTTTGATGCCTGACACCTGATCCCATCAACATCTCATGATCACAAACAGCTGGTGTGCTTCTTCTATGTGGACTTTGTTGCTTCTCAGCTAAATGGCCACTTGTTTATCTTCAAGCCTTTAAGACCCCAGGTGTTACATCTTTTGATAGCCAGGCACCATCAGCTTTCTTCACCACTTTTGCTTATGCACCCATTTTGTCTTCAGCGATGGTGTCGGGAACGTGAGCAGCACGGAATGCCAGGTTATTAGAACAAAGTGCTCGTGTGTTGAGGGAGTACTTGAGTAGAGGCCCAATGTCTATCTTCTACCTTAATACTAAACCTATAAATATATGCACATAGATCTATTTCCCTATTGTTATGTATGAATATATTTACATATGTACATGCCTGTATTTAGACCTCTATAAATGCCCTTTGCCTCCTAGTTCTTTACTCTGTTGTATTCAGGAACTTTTCGAACCCCCTTCATATACATGAACTATATAGTACTTCCTGAATTATCCTGTATTATGTAAACTATTTTATCTATTAGAGACAAAACTCCTAATTGTTGAGAGGCTGGCTTAGTTATTTTTTTTATTCATTTCCCTAATTTTTCCGAGTGAGACCTCTACTACTTCCTTAATTTGATTGCTCTATTATGACGTTTAACTCTAGGGATTCTTCTGTAGCTTGAAAGAGAATGTTGTTTAAAATGATAAGATGATCATTCATGCAACTTGCTCCTTGGAATGCATCATAGCTCCTTTCTGAGAGCTTGATTGTTCTTAACAGAGCCTTACGCACCTCAGAGGAGCCCTGTGTCCTTCCAGAGGATTAGAGGCTGGAAACGTCTACTTCTTGGAGTGAAAATTGGACAAGATGTCTGCCTAGGAAGACTTCTTCTACAGACTAGTCATTTCATTGTAAGTCCACCTGGAAAATGTGGGTCTCGAGTTGATCATTGTTAACTTAGGGATGTTTTCATTCTAATGTGTCCACATAAAAGCACTTTATTTACTCGATGCCTGTGTCAGTCTGGGTAAACCAGGGAAACAAATCCACAGAAACTCATACGTATAAGAGAGAGTTTTACATAAAGGGTACGTGTACATTAAGAAAGCATCCCAACCCAGTGCTGTCCAAGCCCACAAGTTCAACATTAGTCTATATGTCCAACATCAATCTACAAAGTCCTCCTCAATCTCATAAAACATATGCAATGATGCTTACTGTAGGAGGAAAGCCGAATCAGTGAGCGTGTAAACATCTCAGCACTGGCAGGGGTCTACATGCGGCTGCTCCAGCACCCAGGGCTGTGTAGGGGTAGGTCCATGCGGCTTCTCAGGATGTTTTGCAGGAAGTGAGCTTTGCCAGTTGAAGCAGGGAACTGGCTAAGGCAGCTGCACCCCAGTCCGACCATCAGAAAGCAAGAGACCCAAGAAATAGAAAGGCAAGGTTCACTGAGCCATTTATCTCTCTGCCCTTCAGTTAATCCCACATGTGTTTATGGGCCAGGTTGGCACAATCACGCTGAACTATGTCCATGCCCTTTTTTCCTCTCCTAGGAGCAGTAGCAGCCATGCTAGAAGATAAAGGGCCCAGAGTGACAGACTACTTTGTTGTAGCAGGCCTCACAGACACATCGACGCTTTTGGATCAAGAAATTAATCGTTTAGATACCAAATCCACCGGACCCAAAGCTCCAATTACAGACATTGCTGTTATTAACACATCAGCTGGGGAGAAGGTTCCTGAAGGTTACACCTGTGTTGAAGCCACTCCGTCAGCTCTCCAAGCAAACCTGAACCATGGGAGTCTGAAAAGCCCAGAGCTTTTCCTCTGTTATAAGAGGGGGAGAGAGAAACCACCTCTGATAGACATTGGGTACGGCCACCTCCTTTCTCTTGTAGGGAAGGAAGGCAAGGAAAGTTATTTTGGGGGAAAAAGTTATTTGGGCAGAGACATTTTAAATGGTTGAAATTTTAGTATTATTTATTACTTAGATATTCAGGCTTCTTGTACTTTGAATCCTTGGCTCATTTCCCTTCAAAAGAATATTGAGACAAAGATCTTAGCACTTATAAGGTGATTCCATTTTTTTGGTTGTACTTATCAGATAAAGTTATTAATTTGCCATAATATCATTAGAAACCTTAATAAGGGTCTTGATAAGAGAATGAAAAGTGAGGTTGTATATAGAGAATGAAACCATCTTATGAGGAACCTCGGAAATCAAAAACGCACCATCAGTTTAAAGCAATAGGGAATAAGGAGACAGTGACGACTCTTAAGCAAGGAAATAATCTGATGGAAACATTTTGTCTGATGAATGAAGTGAATTAGAGGTTGATAGGATGAAATCTTGATTTTATATATTCCAAGCCCCTTCTCCCAACTTTGTGGACTTTTGTGTTGTTCTTTAATTTTAAAGTTTTAAAGTAAGACATTTCAGTAGTTTACTAAGTCAATTTATTCTTTATGACTCTCTCTCTCTCTCTCTCTTTTTTTTTTTTTTAAGCAAAAGGGAAGAAATGTATTGGAGCCCATAGGGGAAGCCCTCGGGGGGCCCAGCATACCTACTGTGTAGACATGCCCAGCAAAGGGTCACACCATTCCCTGTACCCCCATGTCCTAGAGGGACTTGTCTTCAAGACTGTTAATGACATGTAATTGTCAGGTGCTTTCAAGCTGAGCCCTACTGCTAGCATCTCTGTGTGACAGAGTAGAGCTGCCAGATAGGGTTTTTAGGCTGTGTGCTGTCAGGGACTGATGACCTGGCCTTTCTCTGGAGCTGCTGGTGGGTACAAACTTTGGGTCAGCAGCTGAAGGCTTGCAGCACCAGGGTTCTGCTGATGGCACTAATCAGAAATGCAAACCTGTTGCCCTCTAGTTGCTTCTGAGTGATGGTTGGTGTTGAGCCTTCAGGACAGAGAACTGCCCTGGAGTGTTTCCAAGGCTGTAATCTCTACAAACTCCACAGAGGGCCGAGGAGTTTGAACTGCTGACCTCTTGGTTAGCACCCAGTTGCTCAACACTGTACCACCAGGGCTCCTCAGCCCTTTGCTAGAAGTCCCCATCCTACCTCTCTCCAGCTCTGAATCCAGCTTCCTAAGGGCAATCACTGCTTCAAATGTTTTCTTCTGCTTCTAGCAGTGTGACTGAGGTAATCTGAGGGGACTTCCAAAAGTGGAAATGGAATTTAAAGATAGTGGTTTTTTTCCATGAACCCTTTGAAGCCACCCTCTCCAATATGCTTAATTAATCTGTGCTGCTTTATTTGTAAAATAGATTTTTTTAAAATCATGTTATTGGGGGCTCGTACAACTCTTACCACAATCCATACGTAAAATAGATAACCGTGTCTACTTATTTATTGACTTTCTGTCAGTAAATGAGTCATTACATGTAAAATGCTTGGATTAGAATAGTAAATTAAGCACTGGCTTGTATTTTAAGTGTGTGCTCTGAGAAGCAGGCCCTGTGGTTGAACGGTGGTCTGCTAGCCCTACGGTCAGCAGCTGAAACACCAGCTGCGCTGGGAGCAAAGGGCGCCCTCTTTCTGTGAAGAGTGAGTCTTGGAAGCCCGCAGGGGCAGTTCTACCCTGTCCTGCAGGGTGCCTCCAACTTGGGATGGACTTGATGGCAGTGAGTTTGTGTTTGAGAAGGTAGGACTTCCTTCTCTTTTTATCCTCGGCCCCACTCATGTTCAGTCTTCTCTCCTCCACATCTCAGCGCCACGGAGTCGATGCCGACTCCTAGCGACCCTATAGGACAGAGTTGACCTGCCCCTTGGGTTTCTGAGAGTGTATCCCTTTATGGGAGTAGAAAGCCTTAGCTGGTTGTCTTGAACTGCTGACCTTGTGGTTAGCAGCTCAATGCATAACCACTATGCCACCAGGGCTCCTTTGGTCAAATATAGTTATGTCTAAAGTTTGGGTTAAATCTATATTATTACTTATATAATTATGACTAGGTATATTCAGAGCTGAGTCATGTAAGGTACCATGATTTTAATTCCTTGTTATCTTGCTTTACTTTGAGCTCATACTTGCTTTCTGATATTTCGTTTTTATATTTTCTGTTTTGTCCTTAATATACCCTAAAGTTCAGTTAGCTTGTATTGCCTTAGAATATACTATAGCATATCAAATGATCCATTATTCTCTGTTGATTTTCTCTGTGCAGATCTCTCTCCTCCTGTCCCTCTTGACTTCAGTTTTCCTGTCCTACTCTTTTCTTTCCTCTTGGTCCACCCTCTGGATGGATGGCCGCCCAGTCTATCCTGGAGCATTGCTGTCATCCTGGGACCACTTTTGTTTTTTCTAGTATCTTTTTAAGAGATAGTTTTCTTGGACTATAATTTACATATCATGCAAGTTCACACTTCAATCATATGAAGGGTTGTGCATCCTCATATATAATCACTATTTTATTCTCTTGTTTGGTTGGAGCTCCTCTTTCAGTAACTTCATGAAATGGGATACCAGAGAGATGAATACTTCTGTACCTGGGAGAATGCTTCTCATATCTGTTGTTAATGCTGTTGGTATAGAATTCTAGGTTGGATATCAGCATTCTTGAGGGGAAATGAAGACATTGTTCCAAGGTTTTTTACTCACTGCTAGGCCTGCAATAATAAACTCTCAATAAAACAGACTCACTGCCTGGGAGTTGACTCATAGCAACTCTGTAAGACAGACTCAAATTGCCCCTCTGGGTTTCTGAGCTGTGGCTCTTCGTAAGAGCAGAAATCCTCCTCTTTCTGCTGCAGAGCCCACTGGAGGGTCAGAGTTGCGTACAGTGCATTTGGCAGCCTGCGATGCCACCAGGGCACCGCCTTTAACAGTGAGAGCAATAGTAGGAGTTGATAAGACTTATGGAGGACTTAGTATATATTAGGTTTTATTATAAGTGCTTTACATATAAGCACAAAATATCTGCAAAACCGCCTCATATGATCAGAACATTGTGTAGATGAGGAGAATGGGGCAAAAAGGTGGTAGACCTAGCAACGGCAACACTATTCACTGTGTGTTCTTTCCGTCCTGTGCCTGAATGTCATTCTGAAATATCATCCTGAATGTCATTTCTGAGACATGTTAGAAATAGATTAAGGATAAAATGGAGATATGTATAGTCTATGTATAATGAATATTTCGATTATACAGCTGTGTTTGAATCTGGAGAATTAGCCATAGTTCTTCTGGCCATTTCTGAGCGATGGCATTTGAAAGAAGTCAGTTAAAAAAAAACAAAAGTCAGTGAGCTCCACTAAGGCAGATTTTCTTTTCAACAGTCTACTCTCTTCACTCTTTTATATCTCATTGTTAATGTTTTGTTAAAGTTCTCTTAATTTCTCTGCAGTGTATTGAGCAATTTGCCCACTCCCTTGTTTTCTTCTCTGTTTTACTTTTGAAAAATCATTGAATGTCTTTCCAGCGATTCTCAACCTGTGGGTCGCGACCACTTTGGGGTCGAACGACCCTTTCACAGGAGTCGCCCGATTCATTGGTTTTCTTATATTGTATCTTCTTTATCTGTTTTTCTGTTTGGAGTATTATAACACCTTTACATTAGTCACATGCTAGATTTTTAAATTAAAATTTAAGTAGTTATAACTAAGGCTGTTTGAGATAAAAAACGGTTAGTTTTTTATTTTTAAGTATTTTTTTTAGAAGCTTCCCTTTTTTCTTATAAATTTGAAAATTTTTCACTACGGAAAACATTTTTTAAACTATGCAGAGTTGTATAAATGGTCTGCTGACCTCTGTAACCATCATAAAGCTTCAGCAATTATTAACTACTCAGCCTGTTCTTTGATTTTTGTCTATACACTGTGCATTAACTTATTTCAAAGCAAATAAACATTTCATTCATATAGTCCAGGATGTATTTCCAAAAGATAAGGGCTCTCTTATTAACATAGCTATTTTATCACACTTAAAAATTAAAACTATTAATTTCTTAATACCACATTAAAAATAATGTAACATTATCCATGTATCATATGCTCATATTTTCCCAATTGTCTCAGCACTTTTTAAGAAACCATCCAGTTGGTTGCTGGTTATTTAGATAATGTAGTTTAAGATATTTTGATGCACGTATTAAATTTTATTTCAACAATGTGACTTATTTCTCAGTCGTGGAGTTTTTGGAGATAAATTTTTTTTTTTTTTTGCAGATAGGAAGACATTTTTGTAAAAACACCTGAATACTTACTGAAGTCTTGAGGATTTTTTTCCCATTAGTTTCCTATAAAGAACAACAAAAAATTTCAAGTGTTGTGTTCTATTTATACTTTTTGCAATTACGGTACAGTCTAGCATTTGAAAAGTTGCTGAAAATTTATAATACACAAAGTAATAATTTCAGTCTTGGTGTATAATTAACATGTGGAAGACAAATAGGAGAGATCAAAAGATTGTTTTTAAAAGACGTAAACCAGTATTAATCTGAAATTATTTGCATATCTCTGTGTTACATATTTTCTTCCTCCCTGACATGCAGAGTTCTATATGAAGGGAAAGAGAGGCTTATTCCAGGATGCGAAGTGATCCAAGCCACACCCTATGGTCGCTGTGCCAATGTCAACAATAGTTCAACTACTTCACAGAGAATCTTTATCACTTACAGAAGGGCTTCTCTGAGTCGGCCCCAGAATTCTTTGGCTGTAACTGATATATGTGTTATTGTGACCAGCAAAGGGGAAACCCCTCCTCATACCTTCTGCAAAGTTGACAAAAACTTAAATTGTGGAATGGTAAGAATAAAATTGTTTTATTTTCACTTTCATGTGAACATACACAGACAAATTTATAAATATATATATTATGGGATTTGGGTGTAGAATTTATTAACTTCTAGTTTTACAATTCATGACTTTTTATTACTTATACCTATCACTTTTATGATTCATAAAATGTAAATCCTTAGCTATCTGATGAGTTAGAATAATTTCATTTAAAAAAGGGATACTTTTTTAAGCTCAGAACATTTTTGTTACTATGTTCCCTAATGTTGCCTGTGTTGTGTTACATAGAGGTTTATTAGTCGTGAGGTTTCAGTGGTATTTTTTAAGGACAATTGCAAGGTTAGTGGGTGGAGGCTTTCTGTACATATATTGGTTTTATTTTAAAATTGGACTTCTGCATACACATTTTTTAAAAGGGCTAATGAGAAGAAAACCTAAAATGTCCATTTTATTTCTAGGGTTATAATAGTGAATTTTAATATCTCGTCAGGTTTATTTATGATAGCTTCAGGTCAGAATACTATTAGCCTCAATGTAGTATGTGGCGAGGAAGATGAGAGTTGCCTGCCGTGCTGAGGACTTGGTTGCAGCCTCGTTGGGGCTCCAGGGGTCAGGCCACTTGGTGCTGCCTCTCAAACAGGGATTCAGCCTCTTTCTTAAGTGACTTCAGGATTGCAGCCATTTGAAATGCTCTCACAAACTATAGTCAAACTTCTTGATGCAGCATAGCTATATAAAAGAAAGCTATATTTCTTTTGTCTCAAATGTTCTTCAGGCTTTGCTGTAGTTTATACTATAGAGTCTGTTATGTGCAATATGCTTTAAATAGACTTCCCTTTAGAAAATATTCAGTGAACTAATTTTTTTTTTTTGCTCTTTTTTTCCCCTTTCTCTTTTTAAACCTGATTTATATTTTACAGTGGGGCTCCAATGTGTATCTGTGTTATAAGAAGTCTGTGCCTGCCTCTAATGCAATAGCATATAAAGCCGGTGAGTGCATTTTTAAAAAGTGTAGTTCTGGGACATATTAGAGGAAACAGAGTATGTATTATACAGTTGGAGGAATTAATCTATCCATAGTACTCACATAGCTTTTAGGATATGAAAGCATGGATTTTATAAATATATTAAATCGTATAAGATATATTAGTACGACCCTACACACACAAACACATGCTTTTTGGTTAACTTTTAACTTTTGTTTAAGCAAACATAAGTGGAATAAGCACTCAGGCTCCGGTCTGCACTCGTAGATTTAACAAGCCAATGGAAAAACTGCTTACTCTCTGACCTCTGTGTTTTGGCAATTGCAAAGGTGTCAAACTAGATCTTTATGTCTTCTGTTTCCTTCTTTTATCTCTGTGTGTCTGATTTGAAAGCACATGTTACTTGCCATGAAAGGTGGACTTGCTTCCTTTCTCCCTTGTGGCAAAGAAGCAGTTATGTGGAGGAGAGGAGGCCTCTGCGACTTTCCTGCCTCGAAGTGTGTGAGAAATCTGTCGCCACACTCTCACCGCACAGTAAAGTGTCGAGGGCTGTAAAGATTTAAGTGTGACTCCTCCATCCCACTGGTATGGTGGGATGAACACTGAAAATACAGGTATGCTCCAGTCGTAAATAGAAGAAATACTGGAATACTGCTGTGTGAAAAGATGCAGTGCCGATGACTTCTGATCGTTCCTAATTCTCTGAAGCAAGGCTTTAATTCAGGAGAGCGAGGCAAATTCATATCTGAGGAACCTCCACTGTTGTCAGAAGGCCATTCCTATTAAGGAATCCAACCAGTGAATTTATGATAGGAAAATAAAGGGGATGATTAGCTAATAACTGATTTTATTGTAGTTTTAAAATGAGATACATTAATAATGTTGTAATGTGTTGAATGATGTTACCTTTTAGCTTTTAGGAGGGGTGGCGTAGAGAGGAGATGCTAAAAAGAGCCCCGAAACCAGCTTTTTGAAAATACTCAATTATGTGCTAGGAGACACACACATTTAAGATAAAGAGTTTTGGAGATGGAATCGGCTCAGATTCTGCTGTCGATGTTAATTAAGTGTTTAAGTTAGAAATGGTCTGCATATTGGAAATGTTAGAAGCCGGCTCACTGTGCCATGTAGTTGCTTTATTCTCAAGGGATTTGTCTATGGGCTTTGCCTGGAGGGCCCTCTGAGCCATCTGTACACTGTATTCAGTTGCAGAGATCTGTGTCTCGTCCATGTCTCGTGCTCCCTGCCTCTGACACTGCTGCGCTCTCAAGATGGACTTTGGGGCTGTAGTTGCCTTGATGCACTTCTGTTGCCTTGATGCACTTGTCCTTTCCCTGAGTTTTTACTGAAGCCTAACCATCCATTATTGAAATACTCCGTACTTTAACCTAGAAGCTTCATAGCATTCTCCCGAAGTGCCGACAGTATGTAGAAGAAACTAATTCAGATGGATTGTCCTGTTGAACAAGGTCTGGGCCAGTGTACTTAATGTATTTCTGTGTTAATAATTAATTAAGAGCACATGATCTTAAAAATAAGAATTCATTTTTAAAAAATCTTGATATGGCAGGAGGAAACATAAGTTTAAAATCCCACGCTTAAATAGTTCCATGAAATGTGTTGTTAAAATACCCTCTTAACCTGTATCATGTAATTTATGTAAAGTCTCTTTTTAAAAATTTATCAACTTCCTTTCTCTCCAAAAGGTTTAATTTTTAGATACCCAGAAGATGACTATGAGTCATTTCCACTCTCAGAGTCTGTACCTCTTTTCTGCCTTCCTATGGGAGCTACTATTGAGTGCTGGGATCCCCAAACCAAGTACCCACTACCAGTCTTCTCCACTTTTGTGCTGACAGGTTCCTCAGCTGAAAAGGTATGTTTTAGCCTCTTTTCACCTATTAAATAGGTTTAATTTATTGTTTGCCATCTTTTTATTCCACGCAATGCTGCGTTTCATTTGTGTGTAGGGTTATTTGGATACAGTAGATTTTGATTTGAATTTTACTTTTATGCCCACGTTGAGAATTTAACATGAAATTTGGTATTATGAATATTGATGCTCTTATCCCTAATAGCTTCTACTGAAGCAAATTGAAGTGTCTCTAGAGAGATACCCCTAAACCCAAACAGGATGAGCTTATGATAACAGAGACATAGATAGGTATGATAGAAAGAATTAGCGGGTACACTAAAAAGGTACATTGGACCTTCAGAGACATTGAAATGCATACAAAGGCAATATAGACGTGTTAAAAGAAGTCAAGGCCTACTAGCATTACGTAAAACATTTAGGAAAGAACAAGTAATTTTAAAAATGAAAAGACAAATTAGAAAAGAATCACGTGTCTAGAAATGAAAATGTTTCTTTAAAAATTCAGTCAATGATTTAAACAGCAGAGAAGGCATAGCTGAAGGGAGAATTGGTGAAGTAAACAATAAATTACTTAAAATAGGGCACCCCAAACCCTGTCAAATCCAAAAACCCCCCAAAGCCAACCGTTTCAGTTGAGTAATTCCAGTTCATAGCAGCCCTGTCTGGACCGAGTGGAAGTCCCCCACAGGCTTTCTGAGGCTGCACATCTTTACAGAAGCACACTGACCCATCTTGATCCCAGGGAGCACCGGGTGGATTCAAATCACTGACTTTCTAGTTAGCAGCCCAGCGCGTAGCCACTCTGCCCTTGAGGCTCCTTAAAGATCATTAGGGCTCAAGAATCATCAAATCGTCAAAGTGGGAGGCTAGTACAGTTGGGATTGCCAGCACAAGGCCAGAATTTTCCAAGATCATTGTGGCATGAGGAGCCATGGGAAGAAGACCTACTGATACCCAGTCGTGTGCTGATATGCCCATACGGAGGCACTGTGAGAAACACCGTTTCCTAGCCCTGGTGCTGGTTGGGAATATGCCAGTTTGGGAGGAGAGAAGTACACATGCCATTTTCAGTTTTGTGCATGTGCTGTCTCTGGCCATCATGGGCGTACATGCTTTCAAACTTCACTCACTAATGACATTTAGCAGTGATGGGGCTCTTGAATTACAATGTTAGCAAATGTATAAAAAATGTGTTTTTTTTTTTTTGCTAAAATACAGCATCGCTTTATTCCTATTGAAGCTTGGTTTGTCAGTCTCTAAAATATGTTTGACTGTCAAAGGTTAAATTGTATCATGAACAAACCCAGGGACAAGGGAACAAGTGATCCAAAATCAGTGGTGAGGAGGGTGTAAGAGACCTGGTAGGGCTTGATCAGGCACAATGTAATCGAAAGGAATTACTGAAACCCAAATGAAGACTGAGCATGATAGTGGGACAAGAGGAAAGTCAAAGAAATAGAGGAAAGAGCTAGGAGGCAAAGGGCATTTATAGAGGTCTAAATAAAGGTATGACATATG